ATGTATGTATGTATGTATGTATGTGTGTATGTATGTATGTATGTATGGATGGACGTATGTATGGATGTATGGATGGACGTATGTATGGATGTATGTATGTATGTATGTATGGACATATGTATGTATGTATGTATGGATGGATGTATGGATGATGGATTAATGTATGGATGGATGTATATATGGATGTACGGATTTGAACATTTCTACTAAAACTGAATTATCCGACACACAAAATTTAATTTTAATTTATATTAAAAAATAAAAAAGTGTTTTGCTAACAGAGGAATCTAAAAAACACACAAACATCTGCACAAAGTATTAAAAACATTCATTTTACTTATTTAAAAAAAAAAAAGAGTTAAAGGATTCAGGGTGAATCGTGTTTGGCACACATCACCTACAGTATCATCCAACTAATCGGTGGCTGAAAACAGCTCCTCTGTTTAATTCCGTTGTAATCGGTGAGTTTCATGTTGCTAAAAGCAATATCAAAAGATGTAAAAATAAAGAAAGATTGGAAAGACAAAGTATGGCAGACACCCACATGGAGAAAGCATGAGTGAGCAGAAATGATCCCCGGGGACAGGGAGCTTGATCACAGCTGCTTCTTGCTGGATCAATGGAAAGGCTTTTAACCACAAATGGAAAAAAAAAAAAAAACATACCGTCCCACTAACACACAAACACACAGATGAAGACACACAAAAGCAGGTTGATTGATGTCAAGTTCTCTATTAATGCAGTGGCTACTGGAGTTGCAAAGCAATTCAATTAGGATTTTCTTGTCTTTAAGGCCGGCAAAGAGCTGAGACAAATCCAATTGACTGAAAGAAGACAAGAGAGCTGGACGGTGAGCGCAGGAGTGTGTGATGAACTGATAGATAAATTGATAGCTGGAAAGCCAATCAAAGCTCTAAGAGGTCACACAGACAGAAACACAAATATGTACGCACAGAGGGCTTTTAGCATAAACAGTGAACACACAGAAACTGGACACTCAAAGCTTTCGGTGATCTCCTTACTGGTGCACCGTTGGGCTCAGCAGATTCACATGCACATGAATGCGTGCGTGTCCCCATGAAAACACAAAGAGCAATAAAAAGTTTTAAAAAATCAAATAAAGATTTGAGCCTTATTGAACATTAAAGTGGAAAGACATTTGCTTCCATCACTTGAGGCAGGCAGGCAGCAAGCAATGACATGCATCAATCATTCTTAATGGAACATTTCAATTGATTTTCAACATGAGTATTCAAGGTCAGAGGAACAGAGTTTCTGCTCTCCACTCTCTGCCTGCATTTGTGTGTGTGTGTGTGTGTGTTTTGGACACTAAATGAGGTCAACAACTTCAAAGAAGAGGAAAAAATCTATCCTCTTGATTCATATGCAGTAATTGTCATCTGTTCTTAACTTTTTTCCCTCATATCTTCTCATCTATTTCACGGTAAAACCCTCTCTGAACCCTATCACAACGTGCCATCGCTTTCCATTCTAACACTTGTTGCAAAATAAAGCCATGAGAGATAAACAGAGGCCATTAGCACAAGGCTCAGACCAAGAGTTTCCTCAACAAGAGGAAATACCATAAAGTGTCTACAGTCTGTGAATGGTCCAGTTTCACTGAGCCAAGAAGAAATTGGGTTTTTCTCAGCCCCCTCTTTTCTTTCCGTGTGTATTTGATCCATTTTCGCTATGATTTCATTTATAATTCTTCCAATGCGTTTGTTCTGGGAAACAAAGCAGTCGGTCAATGGAATATTGTTTGTGTATCCTCCAAGTGTGTGTTTTACAGTCTCCATATTGTTATTGTTTGCTCTTATTGTCATCTGTAAAGGAGCATTGTAGCGAGCTGAGACAGAGATATTGTGAGCTGAGCTAAATTTGGAGGAGCCTTACTGGTCAATGGGAGAAAAATGTGTATTTATATTTCCTTCTTTTGTGAACCAAATGTAACAAGTTTCTTTTTCACATCTTTGTAGCTGTTCATTGATTAAAACAAGATCTAAAAGGACTGGAGGAAGGAAAAAAAAACAGAAATTCTCAAAGATAATGGAAAATAAAAGGCAACAGAGAAGTACCAAATTGGTTGAGAATAAAAAAAGAGGTATTTATAACACTGAGAGCTGATCAATAATCCCCTGAAAAAAAATTATGTTGCCCAAAAAAAATCACCTAAAAATGTGTTTAAAAATAATAATTATAGGCCTAAAAGACACAAAACAGCATTTCAAACAAATCTTTATTGTTCCTGCTTCTAAAATAACACATCAAGCTCCAACTCTAGCCTTAGCATTAGATAAAGTCTCACCCTAAATCTGACAGGATGGCAATTACTGTGCTCTTAACTTGGCATTGTGGCAGCTAGGATTGGTAGGTGCCCCATCTTCTGATTTTGCCACAAGGTGAAAGCAATGGTTGGCTATTCTTCTTCAGAAAAAGGCATTTTCAGACTTAAGGCTGAAGCATTTAATCTGTCACTGTTCTGCCCAGTGGAAAACTGCATTTAAGGATCACGTAACATACATTATTGTTAACATGTTTAATCTTTTCTCACAAATTATTGGATAAGAATGCTAATGCAATGATGTATAAGTGCAGATCGTGATCCTGGGGTGTCATTTTCAGTAAACGTCAGTGACGTCACGTGCGCCGCTTCGACTTGCTCTTTTTTTGTTCCTGTTGTCTTTGTTGTAACATTTTTTGCACCTACACTGTACACCCACTCTACGGGTGCGTGGATCTGCACATGACAAATGAACCAAACCTAAACACATGCTCACACTCAGCTGTTAAAGGTTCAGGCACATGTGCCCAAAACTCAGTGAAACAAATAGAACAATCTGTTGCAACAAATTACAGCTTAAACTGTAATACACCTAACTCAGTTTTAACTACGTGTTAAGGGTAAGAACATATATTGATTAGTAAAGCAATAAATTTGCCTGTTTTCTTAGTTCTTGCTGCTTGCCATGACAAACAGGTGCAGTGAAAGCATCACTGCAGAGACTCCGCTGATCAACCTGTCAATCGCAATTAATCTCTTTCTTATGAGAGAACATAAAAGAAAATCCTCCAGTTCAGGTACAAATACAATAAAATCCTTCACAATTTGAAAAAAAAAAAAAAAAAAAAAAAAAATATATATATATATATATATATATATACATATACATATATATATTACATTACAGCACATGGATGGATGCATGGGAGATTTTTATTCAAAGGAACGTGCAATCAAACACTAAACTGTCTCAAAAATAAAAAAAAACTATGTATTTGCAGAAACTAATTCATACAATCGCTTGTGAATATATGTGAGTTAGGGGACTGAGGCAAAGATGGAGAGACAGAAAGAAGAGAGAGGACGATAAAAGGATACTCTGAATGGACTTCTCATTCCCATCTGATAGCAGAACTTCCTTCACGTCAGCAGAAATGGCAACCTGAGAGCCGGGAGAGACAGGAAAGAGACAGAGAAATTAAACAACACAGAACAAAAGAACAAACCCAAAAGCACTCTTAGATGAAGCAAACATCTGAACGCACACAGACAATAATGACATAACCATATCTACAAAGCTTCACTCCTGGCAGCCCTGCCCCTTTCTCTCCATTTCTCCCTCTCCTCTCTGCCATTTCCCTCTCTATCTTCACCCCATTTTTATGTCTGCATTATTTTAATCATTCAATCAAATCAGTCAATACTTTTATCATTGCGGCTAGCGGTGGGGGCTGCTATCTTGCTATCACTCTGTTCAGTAATTGCATTGTGACAGGGGATGATGGCAAGCGTAGAGTCTTTTCATTTGACGCTGGGTGTTTATCAGACCGAGCCATCACTCCGTTCGCCGCTGTCACTCTGCACTCGGCTCGCCAGGCCTGCCTGATGCCCTTCATATAACTTTGCAGAGCAGACTGCAAAAGACGAAGAGGAAAGAGAAGGAGGGAGACGAGAGAATGGAGAGCTTTTGCCTTACATTGTGTGTGAGGGAGATGTAGATAGAGAGGTGTGTGCTCGATTAGCACCCCATCTTTTAACGCAGATTTTCTTCACGGATGCCTTTTCTTTTACAACAGCAAGTGTGTGTCAGGCTGTCAAATTTGGTTAAAGAATGTGGGTCTGCATAACTCAAAGTAAGAGCAAGTAGGCACTGTGTTGGTAAATCCAAGTGAAACATCCTCAAATCCATCAAATCGTAGATTCAACAATGCAGAGAACTATAACATCATTTGTGATTTCTGCTGAAGTATAAAGAAAAATGTATGAGTAAAGGGATTACTGTAACAAAAGCAGCAAACATTTTTTTGCTACAAATGAGTTCTTATGGTGCATTTCAGCAAGCTACAAATTTTGTCCAATTACAAAGAAAGCACAGTGAAAAGTTACAGCAAGTCCAGTAGGCAAGGCTAATTGCTGAAAACTGCATTTGGTTGTAATTTATTTAATACAGCTGCAAAGCGAAGCTCTCTGTTTACCAGCATATCTACATTCCCACCCTCACCTATGGCCACAAACTCTGGGTAGTAATCAAAAGAAGGAGATCGTGGATATAGGTGGTCAAAATGCGTTTTCTCTGTAGGGTGGCTGGACTCTCCCTCAGACATAGGGTGAGAAGCTCAGTTTTCCTGGAGAGACTCCGAGTAGAACTGCTGCTCCTCCACATCGAGAGGAGCCAATTGAGGTTGTACAATATCTGGTAAGGATGCTCCCTGGATGCCTCCCTAGGAAGGTTTTTATGGGTATGTTCAACTGGGACGAGACCTCTGAGAAGATCCAAGACACACTGGAGACAGTGTCTCTGGAAAGACTTTGTTTCTCGGCTGGCCTGGGAACACCTTGGAGTACACAATCCAAAAATATGCATGTTATTTTTTATTGCAAACTAAATTGGCCCTAGGCATGAGCGTTGATAATCATTTGTCTTTAAGTGCCCTTGTCCAGGATGTACTCCATACACTACATCTACACCTCTAGATGCAGGAAGAGGGTCACTTGCATCATGAAGGACCCCACTCACCCAGCACACACATTTTTTGCCCCGCTCACCTCAGGAAGGAGGTTGAGGAGCATTAAGTGTAAAACCACTAGACTGAGGAACAGCTTCTACCCTGAGGCTGTTAGACTCATGAATCTCTAACCAGAACAATCACTGAAGAATCACATCATGTTGCTGCTGATCTGTTTCATGCTACTGTGTTCATCCGTGCTCAACTGCTCACACAGACTCATGTTCGTGCTGCTGTTCGGTGGATTGTTTTTATGGTACTAGTTCTTAGTGTACTTTTAGTTAACATTTTTCTTAGTTCATATCTTAGATCTTATTACTGTTTTTCTTTTACAGTTCAATACATTGGTTGGATGTAACCGAGACCCTGTGTACACAATTTCGTTCCACCACATGTACCACATGTGATGTGTACGACAAATAAATAACCTTGAATCATTGAAATCTTTACAGACACCAAGTTGTAATGAATCAATAGCTCTGATGCTGATAAATCTGTTAGATTAGGGTTTTAAAGTTAATGCAATTTAAATGTATTGTTTTTTTTAATTAAATATAACGGTTTGGGTTTAATACAGGTTATTTCATATCTAATACTAAGCCTTACTGCCTGAAAGGCTGACAGACTTTATAAACCAAAAGATTCTCTGAAAGCAAACATCTCATGAGCCTTCCTACTAGCCTCCACTGATGAAGGCATATAGGTGTCTTTAACGAGAGATTTCAATCCAATTCAAATTCAATTAAAACATACTTTATTAATCCCAGAGGGAAATTAAATTTTACAGACATGGCAACTATTATAGCCCCAGTAGGGGCACAGTGAAGCTAGAAACAAATGTTTATTAAAAAAAAAAAGGGAAAGCAAAAGATGAAAGGGGTGACGAAATGAAATATGTATACAATATTTAATAAACAAGATAATGTGGAGAACATGGTGTTAATGACTGGTGAAGGAAGGAGGAGGAGAGGTGTGAAGGAAGGATTGCATCTCAGGCCACCAATGTCAAAACATGGTGTATTGACTGCCAAGAGATAAAACCAGGCATTTTACACACACACACACACACACACACACACACACACACACACGCTCACACACATTGGCATTCAACAGATCGATGGGAAACCGAATCCTGCAATGTGGAGGGGCCCTTCAGACTAATAAACCCTACAGCTGTCAGGCTGCAGTGCATCAGAGAATCTGTGTGGACGTTTGTGTATGAAAAACACCAACGCTGTGCAGCTTCTAAGATAACGTTAGTATATCTATCAAAACTGCGAGGACACCAACAGGAGGACGTATTGCTGCTCAGCTGCACCGCAATTACTCCGATTGTGGTTTTCACACAGACGAGTGTTTTTCCAAACATTAAACCTTCCAAAACTATGCGCCTTCTTTTCTATCGAGTCATTTCATGATGAAAAGATCAGTCAGTTCTTGACTCGGAATCCGGGAAGAATGCAACCAATTAGGAGCTACACAATGTGCTCCCTCATTACCGCTGTAAACACGAAACTGAAGAGACTAAACTAATTAATTTTATGTAAGTAAAGTGTTTGCATGTAAATACACCTGAAGGCTGGCAGACACAAATGCACATTCCAGCACACAAGAAGTGAGTGATAGTGTTTGAATGAAGGACACTGTACGCCATGCCGCGTGCGCATCGATCGGTGACGATTAGTTTTATGTGAGAAGCCAAACCTTTTATTTCCAAGAAAAGTGCGTGTGTGTGTGTGTGTGTGTCACTTACCATGAGGCCACCAAGACAAGTCAT